ATATCTCTCCCCTCAGTGGGCAGCACAGACCATATGTAAAGAAGAGTTGATCATTTCGTGCATAATACATCATTTATGTTTGGCACGACAGGAGGAATGAGATTTAGTTGTTCTGACATTTTGACGGTGTACGTGGGTACGGAAAGTACTCCCTGTGTCCGTGATGTTCCCTGATGTTGTCGCATCGAGTGGCAGCATGTGCCAAGGACAGGTAGACGTGGAAGGACGGCGACAGGTGAAGGGCAGCAGTAGTAGTGTGTTGTGCATGGTGGCTTGTTGGCTTGTACAGAGACCAGTACATCTTCGACCGACCACACATAAAGAGTTTGTTCGTACCTGTGGGGATTTTTTGGAGTCCTGGGTCAGCCGAGAGCAGCAGCAAGGAGCAGATACGATGCAGTGTACTCTACAGCTTTACAGTCCGTCCTCCTCAAGTCCTAGCGGAGATGATTAGTATCGCACAACGGCTGGATCCGAAATGCCGGCTAGCTCCGAAAACCAAGAAAGGTGGGTGGCTGAGCTAAAACCGGAATGACTGCATGCATGCGTGCTCCTCTCAGCAGATGTTGCTGGCTGGCTCTTTGAAGTGCAGATTTCTGGTTCAGCAGAATTTGATTCCCAATTTTTCCGTTGTCACCTGGGTACAGGGGAATTTTATTTATTTTTGTTTTCTTTCCCTGAGTGGTTTGTACCCTGTCTCACAGGAGCAGCTGCAGTGTGCCCTCTTCCTGTAGCTTGCTACTTCTGCGAACAAGTGTACTCCACCACGTCACCACATCTCTCTTCTGGTACCCTTTCCTCCTCAGAAACTTCCCCGCTAATTCTTGTTTACTTGCCACTGTACGATTCAGTCCCGCGCCACAAACCCCAGATTTCCTTCGTTCAATCTTACACTTTTGTTTTCCCGCGGCGTCGTATGTGCCGGGTTTTGAGACCACGGGCTCCCCATTTATGGTGGACTATAGAGCTAATGTGAGAAACAACCACAACAACAACAATGTAGAACCACTTTTTTCATGTAAATGATAAAAATAAATACCACGGTATAGACTACCAGTATGCAGTACATGATACGATGATAAAATGCCCATAAATGCTTGGTTCCCATCAACTTTGGCTCCCCCTGGCCAACGATCAAGAATGAAAAGATACTCCGGAGGAACTCCACCCAACAATATATATATATATATATATCTTTGGGTGTGATTCTGTGTTAAGCAAATAACTAGAGTGACTTCGGGCTGCAGTCTGTTACTCACACAGCAGTATCTACCTGTGGAATTTAACTGTAGTGACTTCGGGCTGCAGTCTTTTCCTCAGAAACTACCTGTGGAATTTTGCTGTGAGTGAGTGCTGAGTGTGGATTGCGATCTCCACTACCTACATGCAAACCGCTAATGATGTGCCAATGCGCCAGTGCGCCAGCCAGCTTCGAGAGCTGTAACCATGCCCATTAGCAAGCTCCTGATCGCATCAGTCCCACCTCATCGCGGATGTAAGCGTTACAGCAGTGTGCAACGGCAGCAGCACAAAAATATTTCCAGCTCATACACACCCAACCTGCCGATGTTGCACAGGGGAGGGTATCAACCCGAAAGACTATTCTTAATGACCTGCAACCATTTAGAATCACTTTCCCAGATCCAAATAGTGATTCCAGCCTTGCGCTTCCTTCCCGCCTCGCACACATTTCACGCACCACCCTAATCCCTGGACCGATTCGATAAGCGCCAGGGGCCGCAGAAGGCCGCCACAGGCGTCGAATCTCGAAAATGCCGTTCTATTTTTGTCGAGGCTACCTTTTAGCCGCCACGGTGACAGCGTCTGCGCTTCTGTCTCCCGCGACTGCCACATCAACAACTGGCCTTCGAGAACAGACAGAGCAGCAGCGTCTCGCTGTTGTCGTTCCAGCGTACAAGGGTGATCTCGACAGGGCCGTGGCCTCGCTTGGGCGATGGCCTACTGACTGCTCATCCGTCACCCAGCGAAACGTCGATCTTGTTCTTTACTACGCCGAAGGAGAAGAGGATGCAGCCCCCGTCGACGCCGCTACCACTGCCCTCGCCGAGAGCGCCGGCCGGTGCTTCGCCAAGACCCTCACGGTTTATGCTCACCTCAGCGAAGAGGTGAGAAAATCAATTAGCGAACGGTCTAGAAGCCTTTCGCACCATACCTTGCCGTTCCAACTGCAGCAGTTTAGACTATATAACCACCTAGATCGTGTCCTGCACGCCTTATCGAGCAGATCATCGTGTCGAGGGTTACCCGCACACTCCCCAATAATGTCAAGCCTATACGTTCGAGTGTTGGGTCACGCGTTTGTCCTCTTTCCCGTCTGCTGTTGCTCTCGCTGGTGGGCGCTGCTGTTTGTTTCTTCCACGGCTATGTACGGAAATAGCGAAACATACGTGTCATTTAAACCCAACCTTCCATCTGTAGACTATTTCTGGACGATCCCAGTTCACACAACACACCTTTCCCTGTCGCTGCTTCGGCACGCGCAGTACCGTGATTATGCCCCAGTTCTTCCTCGCTACGACGATCTCTTTGACCAATCAACAGGAGACACTCAACCTTCCCGCAAAGGAGACTGTAGGGCGACGGAACATGTTGTTCGAAATGTTGTGTTTGACAATAGTCATTAGTCTAGTATCCGGAAACAAACGGGATTCTAGTCAAGCCCGGATGAACGCAGAAACATGACGAACGAAGGCAGACCAGAGGGTGCACGCCGCAGACACGGTTGTTTTCGTATATGTTTACGTATACACACGTCTACGGGGGCGGCGGGGATAACACAACCTCGGCGTGTAGTTGGCCGTCACAAATCCGCCATCTGGCAATTTGTCTCCCTTGCGAGTAGTTGGAACGAAAATACATGAGCATCGGGCTATTTTTCCGGCACAATTCCGTGGCTTTCAAACAAAATGAATGCCGTTTCAGACCTACCCATTGCTCTACCCCCTACCGGCCCGAATAACAAAAACCGACAGAGTTGGCTCCAACCCACACCCTCAGCAAAGCAGAACTACGTGCCCGCGGTCTCTTCTCACTGGAAAGTGAGATAATGTAACGGTAGGCATTTGTGAACAACCGCTCGCTGCCGCAGGCTGGTCGGTGCTCAAATTCGAGAAGCAAAAAGCGCTACATGTAATGAGAATGATGACGCGATGTTTCCCGCGTGGGAACAACGTCAGCGATGTAAATGACGCCTCCTGTGAATGTTTGACCCATGGATGAATCCATCCACCTTCGTGGTTGCTCGAGTCTCTTCACCTTTGTTGTGCGTGCGAGGTTGCATTCGTTAACTGTGTACTAGGAAACAACAACAATAACTTCGAACGGTAGACTACACTTCAGCAGTACTGCGTAGACTAGTCGACCTTCGTCTTCTGTTGTTGTTGTTGTTTCTCACATAAGCCCGTGGTCTCAGAATCCGACACATACGGTGCCCCGGGGAAACAAAAAAAATATAGGGTACAAACCACTCTGAAAAAGGAAACAAAATAATACTGGTAAAAAGAAAGGAAGTAGAACAGCTACCGCACCAACCGGTCGAGAAAAGAGCCCTCGTAAACTGATCAAAATATAACGAAGACAAAAATATATGAGGACGCTGCACACACCCGCCTAAAAATTCAAAGGGGAACGTAGCAGCACCAGGCAATACGCACCGGGGCATGGCAGCAACGGGGCCAACAGAACAAAGAGGCGGCAGATGGGCAAACAGCCAGATCTACAAAAGCAAGAGCAACAGCAAGAGGGAGATCAAGGTTCCCAACACGGCAGAGTAGGCAGGGAGGACATGAGACAAAACGTGTCGACAGCTTTCCTCTTCACGACGGGGTCGGTTGTCCTTGAAGGGGGGTAAGCATACAATGATCAAGGGTTACACAATCACCAGGGCTGTTTTTTTTTCGTGCTTCCCTTTTCTTGCCTTCACTTTTTTATCGCGAACAGGTTCCAGCCGTCTCTTGTCGACGGTGCCACAACGTCGAAGTTTGGTACTCGCGAGCCTTTTCAGCTTGTTTTTGACTCTCGATTCAAACTCGCCATTTTGCGATTTTGCCACGCGGGCTTCCGAATTTCCAACTAGACCAACAGAGCGACCGGTAGGGCAGGGCCGACAAAAATACACAACCTCCCCCTTTGCTCGTTCGTAGCAGACATGCAGATAGATACACAAGACGGCTGCCAAACAAACTGTCTTGCTGACACTGCTTCCCGCGGGCGAGATGTCTCTGTGTGCTGCTCGGGGAATCGAGGAAAAACAGAATTTTCTTTTGAGGCGGTTTTCTACGCTGTGACTTTTTGCGGTGATGTTGGATTTCGGGGGAAAATATTTTAGCCAAAAAATAATTTGGACTGCTTACGCCGAGGAAGTTGGCATTTTACAACCACCCAAATGATCACAGCTTAAAACGAAGAATCCCGGCGGTCCTGTCAAAATTTTTGCCTGTTTTCTAACAGCGATCCCGCGAAATATCGCTGTAAAAAATGGGGGGGCACAGGCCGATCGTGCCTGAGCGAGGAACTACACCGTCTGCTGCCGAAACAGAGGCCAGTATCATGAGCCCATGCACAAACCCTCTTCGTCGTGTTGGCCGCACACGAGCCGAAAAGGTCAACCCCGTCACATGGCTCGACTTGCGTTCTTTTCTTTGGGCCGAAAAGAGCCGTTTTTTTTTGTGCCTGCTGAATTTGTGAACAGTGCAGAACGCACGCCAGAGAGAGGCGTCAAGCCGTTGACATGTATATTTATTTATTTATTTTTGCCTTCCGACAATTGCAGATGTACCTCAGAAAACTTTCACTTAATGTCTCATACTCTACATGAATATTAAACCAATACGAAGTACAATAACATATGTAGGACTTATTTCTACTGTCAATTTACATCGTAAAAGTATCTCCTCTTCAACTTGAAATATGACCAATGACAATCCTGATGGTAATGCCTGTTCTTCTCTCCGCTCTCTTCTTTCGCCTTTTGCCGGTTGGGTCCCCACGACAACGCCAACTGCGAACCATTTATTATGTTTTGTGGTTGAGAAAACTTAACAGGCTGTCCATGCATCCGACTGCTGTACGGGAGGCGATTGATTGTTGCTGCCAGGGAATGGGCATGACCATGATGCTTGCTGCAGTGCGTATGTGACGACTTCCGGTGATGAGAGCAGCGAGGAGGGTGCTTTTTCAATTTTATCTTCCGCCACCTACCTTTCCGAACCCTGCTTGGCCTGGCTCACGCATTGGCCTCGCTCTTTTCTTGAACTTCCATTGTTTTCTTTTGTCTGTTCATACTTCGTATTTTGCAGGGTACACCTCGGGAATATTCCCGCCGTTTTTTTCCCGCCGTGGTGGGCGGTCCCGGTACTGGCGGGAATTACCGCCACATTCGGGTGGTACCGGGAACCGCCGAAGGCGGTACCGCCGAAAAACGAAAAACCGCCGACCGCCTAAAAAATACCGCCACTTTGCAGTACCGCCGAAAAAGTACCGCCGAAAAAACGAAGTACCGGGAACCGCCAAAAGAGAACCGCCATATTGCAGTACCGCCGAAAAAATACCGCCGTACTCCAGTACCGCCAAAACGGTACCGCCATACTACAGTTTTGCCCTCTAGAGTAGCATGGGGCACTGTCTTCGACGCCATTTCGCGCAGATCAGTGGTTCGAGTCCAACTGGCGTGCGTCTTTGTTCACGTTTTTTCTTTTTTCTTTTTCTCTTTCGTCATACACGCACTCTTCTCTTTTTGCATTTTCTTTCTTCTTTAGGTTGCCTTTCGTTTGTCCATGAACAGCTCGATTTGACCATGGGTATGCATCGCATCGTGAAATCACGAAATCATATGGGAGATGCAGGCTCTCAAGCGTACATACAAGAGACAAAAAGCGACCCATCCTGAAAGAGAGAAAAGAGGTTCGCCGGTTGATGGGGCGCCAAGGGCACCGAAATGTAGTTTGGCATCGCCATGTTTATATTTTATATTTTATATTTTGATATTCTGGTCTACTCGCAACCCTCGAAGGCGGTGCCGCCATATTTCAGTACCGCCACCAAAAAACCGCCATATTTGGCAGTACCGGGAACCGCCGGAGACGGTACCGCCATATTTCAGTACCGCCAGAAAAATACCGCCGAAAAAACGAAGTACCGGGAACCGCCAAAAAAATACCGCCACTTTGCAGTACCGCCAAAAAAGTACCGCCACATTCGGGTGGTACCGGGAACCGCCAAAGGCGGTACCGCCGGAAAACGAAATACCGCCAACCGCCAAAAAAATACCGCCACTTTGCAGTACCGCCCCGCCTGGATCCGCCTAAAAAACTAGTACCGAGGTGTACCCTGGTATTTTGGGATTCTTTGTCCAACCATCTTGTGGTGGTACGCACGTAACACAGACGGCAGGGTTATTGAGGTGCAGTAGTTCGTCTTATTTTTGTTGTTTCATGTTTTGTTCATTTCTCACTACACTGACAGCAGGTTCCGCCTCCTACGATTAACGCTTAGTGCTCGCGTAGCGTTGCACATCTCCAACGGGAAGCATAATGGAATATGCCAATCATGATGTGGCGTTCTACGTCATTGATGATGTGGGTTGGCGTTTGTTGTGACATCAAATGAATGCATGTCCGGCAGAACGTTTTTTGTCCTGCCAATCAAGAGGGACAAAATTACCGGTCCGCGTTCTGCTGGTCTCCTGCATTCGAGTGTGAATTTGTGTACTCTGGACAGATCATCATCGAGCGTACTCAGCGAGGAGATGGTTGATCATCGAGTCCCTCGCAACAAAAAGTGCATACAGTAGGTGACCCTATATAGTGCGACGTAGGGGCTAATGGAAAATATTTATCCCACTCCTTAGGACAGTCCCAATATTCGATACATCGGGCTCAGCTGGTGGATTGGGTGACACGAGATATTGATGCCACTATATGGACAGATCCACTCTTAAGATCCTCAGATGGCTCTAGCACTTTCGTGACCACGGGCTGAGAGTCTTTGCTAGATTTTGGCATTTAGCAACTGGCATACGGTTTAATGTGAAGTCAACAACAACAACAACTGTTCAAGCTGCCACTACACGGGCCACCTACTGTACGCATGGACGGGCGTCTGCTGTGGCTATGCATAGCTCGTTATCACATATTTTTGTTGGCGTCAGTTGCAGACTATAGTGCCCTGCACCTGGCGCGTGACTCCGTAATTTTTCAAGTGGGATGTATGTTACTGTTTTTCCGTTGGCGAATGAGGAGTGCCCTGCGTGACGTTAGAAGAAACAATTTAATGGAGCTTTGGACTGGAATACGCCGATGATAGATATTCGTCGGCTTCCGTTTGAAACTTTTCGTTATTTTTCGCTTAACCCAAATTATGCATCAACGTTTTTTTATTTTTTCGAGTATTTTCACGATTTGGGTCGGCAAGTGAAACGCGCTGGTGGGAACAAGCCTTTGGAATGAGCTCATTTGGAATGGCGTAGGTAGGTGCTTTTTTCAATGAAACCACTTAGTCTCAATGGTACGGAGAAGCAAGCACGTACAGGGAATGTCGGACGAACGAATGGGGTTCAGCACGAGCAAAGTCGAGCATCCGATGTTTGACAAGTGACAGGGGCCTTACACAGAACATAATCTTGTATAGACAGATATTTGTGATTGACTTATTGTTGTGTTTTTCGAGTTTACAATCGAATACCTATTTCGGCGGATGATGATAATTGTTTGGCTATTGCCCGCAAGCGTCAAGTACATGCTTCCGACGCGTTCATTGACGAGACGATAGTGGGGCACATCCGTTCAGACGCAAAAATCTTGACATATTCAACTTCTATCTATTCCCTGCTTTGAGCATTGTTCCTGTTGACCTCATACTCGCAGACGTACGATCTCACATGCCACATGCACACACCAACCCTAATGCCTAACCTTGTGCCAGCCTACGTCAGTAACTACGAGATAGCGTAATAGGCTTCACAGGTTTCTTGTATGTAGGAAACAGATTATGTTAAGCATGCCATCTCGGAAGTTGGCTGAGGGTCAGGGTTAGGATACTGTAGAGTCAGCATCCCCCTCCCCGTTCTTTTATATCCATGAACTTATTACATAGCCGAAGGTGGCTTGGCGGGGTGGACGATAGGATGCCCCCTCCTGGTGCAGCTTGCATACCAACGCCTGCTGCCTCTTGCCAATGAACACCAACAATCGACCACCGGTTTGGTACTTATCTGTCATGAACTGACAATAGCAGTTGCACCGCTATACACGATTGTTGTCCATTCTCTCGTCTGACTAACTACGAGAGGGGTTCCCCTGAGACCGAACGCCTTTAAGACCCATCGACAAATACCGACGGGTTCCCACAATACGACGATACTATACCGCGCACAAGTTTACCTCCGAACCGATGCCTTAACGCTAAGATGCTTGTGTGATATCGGTGGACGTTCTGCCCCAGGAGCAGGCGGCGACTAACCCTCAAAATCTTCTCGTTTTCTTCCCCGACCGCCAACTCTCATGCGTTTCTCCTTGCCGCCATCAATCTTATCCTCAGGATGACGTGTACCCGAGAGGACCTTCCGTGATGTTTTACAAAATGTTCCTCGACGAGCGAATTCGCTCCAACTTCTCTGAGTATGACGCCCTGGCCATCCTCGAGTGGGACGTTCTTGTCGCCACCGATCGCTCCTTCGAGGAGCTTTACCACGCCGCTTTCCGCGTCAACGAAGAGTTCTGGGTGAAGGGCAGCAATCTTGAAGGCACCAACTTCCACTCAAGCTCCATGATGTCGGACATGTGGCACGTCCTTGGCCACATCAATGGCAACGCCATCTACAACAACAAGGACCAGGCGTTCGTTGAGTACGTGGACTACACGCGCTCCCGCTGGGAGTACAACTACCCGTACGACGTGGCCCTGTGGCTCACCATCTCAGACTTCCCGTACAGCTGGCCCCTCTACCAGCGTTTCTCGAACAAGTTCGTCACCACCAACTTGGTAAGAGGCCGCACGCTTTCGCCGGTCGTATCGTGTTGGGCATTGGGCATCGAACATCGATGCAAAACTGATTGGGCGATCCGCTGTATCGGAATTGCCGATTTTCGCGCCGATGTTTGTTTGTTTCTTTCTTTTTCTCCCATCATTGGGCTCTGTCGTCTGCCCCTCTGGCCCCTGTCCTCCATTGCTACCAGCTTGACGACCCAACCGGGGTCACATGAGAGGGGGGGGTTTGGACCCCCTTCTGCGGTTTTGGCTGAGATATTTTTATCGCCAAAAGGGTACAGCAATCCCTTCTCTCGAGACTTTCGAAGACTGTCGATTTGAATCGGTGTCGAGTTTCGATACTCGATATTTATACCCCCTTTTTTACTGGGGATGGGTCGGTTTCCCACCTGTCGATCTCCGTTTTCGCTCCGGCGCCACTCCTGTCGCTCTCCGCTGCCATCACAATCACACACCCAGCAGCCACCAGCCCCACACCACAGAAACAACCCCTGCGCACCATTTCCTTTTCGAATACAGTTTTGTCGCAAGTCTGTTCTTGAGTTGCGGGTTAGGATTGGTCCTCGCTCGAGGTGCATTGTTTGGCACCCAACATAACATGAAGATAAAGACGGATCCACTTTTCAACTTTTGCTTAGTTGATAAGTCTTCATCCAACATGAGACACTTTGTAGTAATACGATATTATGAAAGCGAAGGACGTGTTTTTTAGCTATTTGTTGTCTCGAAATCCTGCTTGAAGGGGCAAGTCTTGCAACTAGTAACTGTTTACACTGATGCACACGTGTGGCTGTCCGATGTAACATATATCGGGTCGACACAGTTAGCTACACGACCACCTAGCGTCTTGCACGATGCATTTACATCACATCACAGCGCGTGCAACCTGTTGTTGTGCTCGTGATATCCATTTGCACACACCTGGCACACACCGCTACGTCCACACTTCCGTGCCGCCGGATCATGTGCGCACGTCTTGCGCACTGCTGTATACTTCCGATAGGGTTCGGGTGTGTCAGAGCACGTGTATCACAGTTGCGTAACTCTCGCTCCTCTTGTTTCCTGAAGCCTTCGAAAGTGCCGTATTGGCAACGAATATTGATCCTCAATAAGCCACAAGTCATTTTCAGAATTCAAAACATCGGTTTTTCCGGGTTTTTTTCGATGCGGTTGCCGTATTGTCTCGAATCATTTTTTCAGATCAACATCAAACATCGCGATCGTATCTTGATATAATTTAACTGAGCGTTCCATGTCGCAAGCCCCGCAGAACGTGGTACCTACATATTTGAACATTTTTAAACGTCATCCATCCCAAGCTCTTTGGGGCACTGTTTCCAACAATGAGAAGCATGCAGGAACAGACAACAATGTACGAGTCGTTAATTCCTGCAAGAGTATTTGATTCGCGGCTCAAGGTATGCTCTCTTTTTGTCGCGTATGCTCACAGGTTAGACGTAAAAACTGTCATGTACTCTTCAACGCTTCGCGCCCTACACGTGCCAGATCATCACAACGGTCTTGCGACGCACTCCCTCCACTCCTGATTGCTCTGAAATCTTGATGTCCACCCCCAGATCGCGTACGTCGGGAAGGCGCACGTAGACCACGGCACCGTCACAGACGCCATCGCAGGCCAGACTCTTTTCATCCACGGTAAAAACGTCGACGAGGGGAGCAACCTATCTGTCCAGAAGGTCAACGAGGCCAACGGCACCCGCAAGAACGGTGGCGCTTCCAAGGTGGTGCGTAAGGTGCAAAATCGGAAGGAGAACGAGATGTGGAAGACCTCGGAGGGAAAAAACTGGCATACTACCGAGGCCACGACGAACGAAAGCGGGGCGAAAATGGCGCGTGAGCTGCAGGAGGACGCGTACGACCGCCGCCGCCTGACCGCCACTCAGGACGGCAAGGTGGCCCGCAAGCTGCAAAAGTGGAGGGACGCTAACAAGTCGGGGAAGAACAAGTGGCAGACTTCCGAGACCACAACAAACGAAAGCGGGGCCCGTGAGCTGCAGGAGGACGCGTACGACCGCCGCCGCCTGACCGCCACTCAGGACGGCAAGGTGGCCCGCAAGCTTCAAAAGTGGAGGGACGCTAGCAAGTCGGGGAAGAACAAGCGGCATACTACCGAGGCCACGACGAACGAAAGCGGGACGAAGGCGGCGCGTGAGCTGCAGGAGGACGCGTACGACCGCCGCCGCCTGACCGCCACCGTGGACGGCAGTGCCCCGAAGGTGGCCCGCAAGCTGCAAAAGTGGAGGGACGCTAACAAGTCGGGGAAGAACAAGTGGCAGACTTCCGAGACCACAACAAACGAAAGCGGGGCCCGTGAGCTGCAGGAGGACGCGTACGACCGCCGCAGCCTGACCGCCACTGAGGACGGCGGTGCCGCGAAGGTGGCTAGGAAGCTGCAAAAGTGGAGGGACGCTAACAAGTCGGGGAAGAATAAGTGGCAGACTTTCGAGACCGCAACAAACAAAAGCGGGGCCCGTGAGCTGCAGGAGGACGCGTACGACCGCCGCCGCCTGACCACCACCGATGACGGCAGTGCCCCGAAGGTGGCCCGCAAGCTACAAAAGTGGAGGGACGTCAACAAGTCGGCGATGAACAAGCGGCCGACCTTCGAGACCACGACTAACGAAAGCGGGACGAAGGCGGCGCGTGAGCTGCAGGAGGACGCGTACGACCGCCGCCGCCTGACCGCCACCGTGGACGGCAGTGCCCCGAAGGTGGCCCGCAAGCTGCAAAAGTGGAGGATCGCCAACGACAATGTGCTGGAGAACAAGTGGCAGTCTTCCGAGACTACGACAAACGAAAGCGGGACAAAGGTAACGCGTGAGCTGCAGGAGGACGCGTACGACCGCCGCAGCCTGACCGCCACCAAGGATGGCAGTGCCCCTAGTGTGGCTCGCAAGCTGCAAAAGTGGAGGGACGCCAGCAACAATTTGTTGGAGAACAAGTGGCAGACTTCCGAGACCACGACAAACAACAGCGGGACGAAAGTGACGCGTGAGCTGCAGGAGGACGCGTACGACCGCCGCAGCCTGACCGCCACCAAGGATGGCAGTGCCCCTAGTGTGGCTCGCAAGCTGCAAAAGTGGAGGGACGCCAGCAACAATTTGTTGGAGAACAAGTGGCAGACTTCCGAGACCACGACAAACAACAGCGGGACGAAAGTGACGCGTGAGCTGCAGGAGGACGCGTACGACCGCCGCAGCCTGACCGCCACCGAGGACGGCAGTGCCCCTAAAGTGGCTCGCAAGCTGCAAAAGTGGAGGGATGTCAACAACAATTCGGCGAAGAACAAGGGGCAAACTTCCGAGACCACGACAAACGAAAGCGGGGCAAAGGCGAAGCGTGAGCTGCAGGCGACGGACAGCGAAGACGTGAACACCCTCCGCCGTGTGCTGGAGACCCCTACCACCGCCGCCTCTGCCGACCGAGATGAGGTGTCTAGCTTCTTCGAAATGGAGTCCAAGCGTCCCTTCGTGGACGATGTTGAACGCGGCAGGCTGTGCGCGTTTGTGGCCGGTACGGCCTCGCAAGTGGACGAGATTGAAGTGACTGTTTCGAGCGTCCTCGAGTTCGTGCCTGGCATGCGCGTCGCCGTTGCGGCCGAGGCCGATGCCGTTGATGCGTACGAAAGGTGCGACTCGATGATTTCTCGGTTGGCAGCGTTTTGGGTGTAACTTGTCGAAGCATCAATAAAGTTTTGTGCTGTGTGCAGCTAACGGGTCCCCGCGTCCTGATATTTTTGATCGGTATTTTGCATGTCATTTTGCGGAGCTTCTGTCTCCAGTGCCCGTGACCACTACACCATCAATCGCTTCGTTGCCAACCCATTTCGCAGAGCGGTCGGAGGCCTGCCCGGTGTGAGCGTGTCCAGCACGCAAAGTGTCTTCACCGCAAGCTTCTTCGCGGACGAGTACTGCGGCGTAGCCAACACCACCCTCATCTTTTATCTCAAGACCGGATCTGTCGTCTCAAGATCATTTACCTCCAAGGACACCCACTCACCCCAGGGGGATCTCCTTGTTGTGTTCGGCAAGGGTCACCACGGGGACGTCGCAGATCGAACAACCGATGTGCTCGGGTTCGAGGCGCCACCGTTCACCACCGGTACGGATGTGATTCTGCCGGTCGGGGCCAACGCTGAGCTGCGGGCAGCTTTGGCGTCGGAGAAAACTGTCGATGACGCGGTCGGGGCGATCGAGGACGTCTTCGACCTGGGCGATACCGCCGCCGTTCCGCAGGTGATTTTTGTACTTTTGCTCGGAACTGCATCATGTTGACGAAGGGCATACCTAAGGAGTGCCTCCGCTGGCGCGTCGATTTTTGATGATCATGCTTTTCGCGACACACGTGACCATGGGCCCGTTGGACCTCCCGAGCTACACGTTCTGGAAATCTATTGAAGAGAATTACAGCAGTAGAACCGCTTACAAGCGATGGCAGCACTTCGATGAAGGCGGTACATTCGAGCAGTCGATGACAATCAAACCATGCCCCCCCCCCCCTCCTCCTCCCCGTCGTCTAACGGAACATGCGTTTTACCCCATTGTGACAGATGCTTGCCGCGCTTCAGTACAAGCGCGCCGCTCCGGGAATCTGGTTCTTTAACCCGCAGGAGTGGGTTACCAGCCACCTTTTCCAGGACGCATCCATTTGGGAAATCCCCCTCGTGAAGCCCCGATTTACCTGCGAGTTGGACCCTTCAAGCAGCGCCGATGAATTCGACGTGGCTGATATCCTGCAGAGAAATCTTGATTTCTTCGCCATGGGTGGAACGTGCGAGGCGGGTGTGATCTCCATGCAGTCGTAACAATGCCTCGGACGTTGCATATTTTCTAACGCACCATTCGAGGCGTCCAAATGAGACAAGGGTCCCCTCAACTCAGTTTGGAGTCGTTTGGCAAGTTTCCCCCTGTGGTGTCAGTTGGTTTCTTTGGTTATAAGACTGCATAATTCAGCCCACGGTCGCGGTGGTTTTCACCTCTCACCGAGCACCGTGCAGAACATGCATGTTTTTTAGATTGGTCCCCATGCGCACTGCTTTGCCCAGACGGATCGCTTCCCAAGGAGTTGGACGACCGTTCTAATATTGCGTTTTTTGTTGGGATATTGCACTCTTTCAGGGCGTGGAGGGTACCACTAAATAATAGCAGCTTGTTTTTTCTGAAGGTCTCAGTTTTACGCCCCTAGCGAAATAGAGAAAGAGATATCGACCCATCATAGAGGTCGTGCGAGATGCTTGTTCGCTAGTGAAAGGCCCATAATTGCTGGCCATCATCGTTGCTTTCCATACATGTCCGAGTGCTGGTGTGCGTCTTAAAAGCTTTGAATCACAGGTACTTAAATACTGAAATTGTAATATCCGTGTTGCTGGGCTTCTACTTGTGTAGGTTAAGCAGTCTTCCCTGTCTGCGCTGTGCTAGTACGATCGGTTGAAGTTTTCCCTGTAAGAACTCATTTTGTCGGAGAGCCCGCCATGCGCCGTTTTCACGTTTTGTTGTATTTCACTCCGTTGGTGACTTCCGCGAATTGGAGTGTGTGAAGCTCGACGTAAATGGTTTCACCGCTGTTTACGTATCAACGTGGAATGAACGTTTAGTTCTGTAACAATATGCATGCCACGGTAAGTGTTTTACTTGGCTTCATCGTAGCTTCAGGAGATTGGTTGGGCGGCAACAGAAGCTGATAGCTCTCGAGCGATTTGGTGTTCGAGCTCAAGCCCGGTGATCAACGACGCAAGGCGTTTGGACAGTAGGTGGCGTCTGTGCGGGAGTATTTCGGCATTATATTCATGTAACGTTCGCGCCTTACGCAAGCCCCTCGGTTCGGTCACTCAGGGAGTCGTGGAGTGTTGTGTTGGAACTGGTTTTCTTTCCCGTATAGTGTTTATTGGTGATGTGACGCTCGCACGCTCATGTATAGGCAAATCAATTTTGGAGTTGTGGTGTCAAATTCCCGAAACGTTTCAAAATATTTTCAAACCTTAATATGCCGCAATGCGCATCGTCGCTTTGTACGAGGATAGAAGGGACCGCCGTCCTTCAGACATCACTTGGTTTTTACATCTCAATGTCGTAAGATACACGTATCCCAATAATCCCGCCCGCCCTCAAGAAGGAACAACACACTACCTTCTGCCTGCCCAGCAGAGGAGATGGAACGACCACGACTTGCTCGTGACGTGGATTATGGATTATGTAATCCTCACGAGAGCTACTGCTGTAGTACTCATATGTGGTTTGGAGCTATGGAATTGCGCGACTGCAATCGACCGCCCAGCGGGTGCGGATCTTCGGGGTAATCCCTGCGTATCTTAAGCAAGCTGTGATGTGTTCCAAGTTATAGATGCATCTTTACGGCGGTGGATTTATTGCAACTGGTTACTGGTGTGCGGCACGGGAGGTTGCCCCCCGCTGCCACTCTCTTCTGTGCGCTTGTCTACGTGAGACGACCTTATAACGACTTTACCATCTATCCAATCCTGTCATCTGGGTCAGCCGTGCTTGTACAGCAACACTGGGCTTGGGACCAATCAACACGACTGACATGCACAAATATGCCTTTTATCAACACCCTTGGTGATAACCGCGACGAACGCCCACCCCGTTTCTGGCTTGGTAGGCAGCCGTGACACCGCACACAGATGCGTGGTAATTTTGTATCTTACAGTAGTAAGCGAATTGCTCCGGGCATTATCCCCTGGTGGGAGAGTGCACCATTGACGGTTCCTGCATATGGTGTCTAGGGAGAAAATTCAACGCGTCTCGGTGCGTTGCAAACAGTCTCGCCACCACGATTCCACGCCGAGGACCGTGGCAAAATTCTGAAGCCTTTCATGATTCTTATGTCTCATCGTCGATATCCGTGCGTGGTTTCGTGGAACTTTCATTCGCATCCCCCACGGGGGGACACTTAAAACGCCCTCCTTTACCCTTGCGGATCAAGAAGATTGGGAGAGATGCCGCATTTCACCGCCTTGTTATTTTTTGCTTTGTACTGACGGGTACGAAGACTGATCGCGGAAGCTATTATAGTGTTTTCCGTCTCATTCAGGAAGTCCTGTCGTCTTGTGCAAATATTTAGATCTGAAGACATCGGCATTCATTCCCAACATCAGAGGAAGGAGCGTTGTCCTGCACGGGATAGAGGCGGCCGCAACCTCTTCTGACGACTTCGACCATGCTGCTTTCTCTGCTCTACATGATGCGCACGTCAATTTTCATCTCTACCCCACCGGCCCACTGTCAACTTAACGACCGGGATATGAGCCCATCGAAACGGACCAACGCCGGATCTATCCAGCCCATCCGTCCGGTCCAAAGTCGCCAACCGATCACGATCACTTTCTGTCATACATACCCAGTAGCCCGTCGGGGAGAAATGCTTGAAGCTTCTGTTGTGGATACTTGTACTAGGCGAAACGATTGGCCCCCCGCGCCCCAATGGGGTGGGCGGCCAGACTCCCGTTGCAGGACAGGGGAATGTTTGCACGGAGTGAATGTATATCTCCAGAGAATAGGAAGGTGAAAAAACTGTCCAATTACGCGGTCTTGAAGTCGGCGATCTGCTGCAGGTCAGCATTGTACGTAGTGTATGCATACAGCGCAAAAAAAAAAAACGAAGTGGGAAATGAGAAACCGGGCCACAACCTGCGCCCTTCAGCGCCAAGCAACGTATCGAAAAGTGTCCGTATGAGAACCACGTAGCCAATAGTTGAATGTAGTCTAGGTAGTGAACGTTTGATATCACAGCAAGTATGTATGTAGTATCTTCTGCATTTCGGACGTACGTGTCTTCATAGTTTTGTCGCGAGACGGGTTGTAACAGCACATCTATCCCCAAAACAAATCGAGAGTGAAGGCCGAAATCCCGTCATATGCTGCAAGTACAGAACGTCGTACTGCCGCAGTCATACCCCGCAAAGATGAGAAAGAAAGAACACCCCAAAATAATGACCCGGAAGGAATACGGTAGCGGAAGAGGAGGCCGGGAATAGTCGAAGGTGGTGTCGAAGTAGTAGTGACGTACACGGAGAAGGCGCATGCATGCGAAAAATGAAGAATGCGAGACCTGAAAAATGACTCGGAAGGGGGTCCCACGATGCCCCGATTCTCAATGAAACATTTCATCATCGCCAATTTTGACATGCATGGTGTTCACCAGAGATTCCCAACCAAGTGACAGTTCACGGGAATTTATGCGAAGAGCAGAAGATAGATGTGAAACACGCACGTACGTTCACACATTTCACTCCGGTCGCAGTGTATTGCAACGGTGGTTAGTCTGCTGACGATATAAATGTTTGGAAAGTCACCCTAGTCGTGACTTTTGAGGGAATGCGGGTCAAACCATCCCCATGCACCAACGGTGAGGGGGTAGTGAGTGGTGGGATACACCGACGGTTCCATGATGTCTGAGCGGTACTGCTGTACGGTACGAAGCATGACCACCGGGGCGATACGAATGAATGAAGATTTACAAAAGGAGTGAAGGAGACAATCCCGAGGGGCCAACGGATGGTGGTTGGTCGGGTCAACCCGAGGAAGTAGAACAAAGTTTGGGCTCGGGCGAAGGTACTCTCTAAGGCGAAGTACGATAACAGTTTTTGCCTGGGTGAGGTTGTAGAGCGATTCGCGAGTGCGGCAATAGGGTAGAAAAACACCAAAAAATGTCTGCCCACTTGAAAAAATGAAGGATGCTTGAGCGATTATTATATTCGAATCACACGTTCAAATCGACTTGTAATTATTCTGACGCAAAAAATCGAATGGCACCAGGTATATGTACCTAATGTGCAAAGCAGGAGAAGTGACCCTCCACAGGACGGACATGTTCCGCGCCGACCCCTTTGATTTGATCCTTGTCGGGAACGTACCTGCTGCACGGCAGTATACGGTAGGAGAACAAAAGTCCCACCGCACTGTGATAGTCAGTTGTCGATCGCACAGATAGACATGTATACCGAAGATGGATGAGTTATTGCAGAAGTTTACAACGGCAACAACGATGCGTACGATATTTCAACAAAAGGGGGATGGGGCGGGCGGACAGACTCACACCCGTTGCAAGACAGGAAAATGTATCTACAGTAGAAGCCGAATTCATATGTACCGCCACGCGCATGGAACAAATGTAGACGTCGTAATGCATGGCAAATGAATGTCGGACAGACTCTACATACTAGTACATGTGATCGCATGTGACGGTGCAG